CCCTAAAACCCTGAAACCCTAAACTGACACAGGCCTAAACCCTAAACCGTAAACCCTAAACCCGAAACTGGCACAGGACCTTGGCCGACTTTCCCTTCGCTGCTTCCTTAGGAGCGGCCGCGAGCCTCCGCGACTTGAAGGTATCAACCCCTACAAGGAGGGGCCCCCTAGTTATAAGGTTTAGGGTTTAGGGTTTAGGGTTGAGAGTTTAGGGTTTAGGGTTTAGGGTTTAGGTTATAAGTTGGGTTGTAAGTTGGGCTAAATATAGTTATAAGTTCCAAAACTTCTAGTTATAGGACTTATAAGTATAATTATGTAATTAGGGGGCCCCTCCTTGTAGTTACTTGGGGCTTACAATGATTTAGGGGTTTAGAGTCTAGGCTTCTAGGGTTTTAGGGGTTTAGGGTCTAGGGTTTTAGGGGTTTAGGGGTTTAGGGTCTAGGGTTTTAGGGATTCGGGGTCTAGGGTTTAGGGGTTTAGGGCTTGGAGGTTTATGGTTTAGGGTTTTAGGGTTTGTGGTGTCTACGGTTTTAGGTTTTAGGGTCTATGAGTTTCAGGGTTGGGGCCGAGTATGGGCATGGGCCCACACTGACAAAGACATTCTTAGGGAAGATTTGGGGCAATGATTTTGGCCTTTTAAAGCTCATTAGGTCTTGTTCGTCCTAATTGAAAACCCAAGCAAACACAACCTAGGATATGTTTGGTTGTTCCAGCCACATCGGAACTTTCGGATACACCTCGGAAAGAACAGGTTTCTGAACCAAGGAAACCTGAAAATTCAAAACAACTTATGGACGTTTCGGTTTTTTCAAAGAATTGGGTGCCCTAACCTCTTAAACCCTACCCTCTAGCATCCAAACACCTGGGAGGATCTAGAAAGTGGATCCCCCCCTCAGCGATTTCTAAACAGTCCCCAGTACAAGTATATGGTACCAACCTAGACCCTAAACCCTTAAACCTTAAACCCTGAGCCCTAAACCCTAAACTCTGGGGCTTTGGATGTAGGGTAGGACTTTCAGGTTTTAATTTGGGGATACTCTGGTACCCAATATAGAGTAAGATTCTATCCTCCTTTTGGGGTATCGTATGTTATATAAGGAATATAATCTTACTGGGTTTAACCACCAAACCAACCGCTACTCAAGTATGGCCCTAAACCCTAACTCCTATGCAACTTGTAAAAGGGGCCAAACCAAGAACCCCACACCGTATAAAACCTTGAAAAGGTGACCAAACCCCAAACCATAGACCCTATGTAACCCTTAAAAGTGGGCACTTTAAAGCGACCGCACCCGACCTCAACCTAAATGGTGGTTTATATACTTATAAAGCGGTAAGATCACCTGTTGTTTACTTGTTTTTTACTTTTTGTTTGTTTTCTGCTTTCTTTATTTATTCTTTTCTTTCTTTGTTGTTTTTACACAGAATTTTCTTTGTCTCCTTTCTTGGAGGTCCCTCTGGGTCTCTGAAGGAGACAAATTTGGGAGGTGGCCATCTCCTCATCCTCCTGATTCCAGCATGGCAGAACGCCAAAGCTGGAAGGACAGGCAAAATGAGGAGGCCAACAGCCAAGCTGATGCGATGCTGGCTGCCATGCGCAGCAGCGCTCAGTTTGGCCAAAAGATGGCCGTGATCCTCCAGGATCCCAAAGTGGTGGCAGCTGTGCGCGGCGCAGCTGTGTCCGTTGCCTCCGCTGAGTCGGCGGCAACCAGGGACTACAGTTCCTGGCTTGATTTTCTGAGCACTCAGCAAATGACGGACATCCTCATATGGGTGACCTATGAAAGGTTCTCGCAAGGCTCCAGGCATGTCTCAGACCCCTGCATCACATCCCGCAGCTCCTCATGTCCTACTAGCTCCAAGGCATTGTGCAGGCCACGACACTGGTGGAGCCTTCCATTTTGTTGCAACGCCTATCCTAGCGAGAGACTGCGTGCATGGCAACCCCTTGGTTGAAAGTGGTTTATATAAGGTATAGTACCCAAAGGGGCTTGAATTGGGAACTGAAGCTATTCTACTTTAATACCCTGGAAAGTGGAACCCCCATTACCGTCATACTAATATCGGGTACATAAAATAATAGCCCGAGACCCATAATAATGGCCATAAAGGCCATTATTTTGCATACTTTTGGGGCCCAGGTAATTCCTAGGGCCTCTTAAAGGGGATCTACTTTCTAAATCCTCCCAGTGGTCTGGGTATGGCTTGGAAACTCCGGGCTGGAAGCTTCAGGCTTAAGTTCGAGGTTTAAGTTGTAGGGTTCAGAGTTTACCTAGACCCCCCAAGTACCCTCTATAGACCCTAAGTATCCCCAAATAGAAGCTACATAGACCCTATTTTAGGGTACTTGGGGGGTCTAGGTAGGGTTTGGGGTTTAGAGTTTTCAGGGTTTAGGGTTCAGGGCTTGGGGCCGTAGGTTTTCTTGCGCTCGGGGCCGCGTCTTTCGGGCTTCAGCGTAAAAAGTAGAACCTCCTCTTGCACGATTTAACCCTCAAGGGGAATTTCTAGATCCTCCCAGGGGGTCGGCATACAGTTTCAGGGTGGAAGATTTTAGACCTGGGGCTCTTAGGTTTTTAGGGGGTTTCGGCTTTGAGGGGTAAATTTGTGGAACAAAGAGTAACTAGTTCATTCCTAGACAAATCTGGCATTCAGGGCTTTCTTTGTGAAGGACGGTGCTCGGGAACCTACGTAGAACAGTTCGAAGATTAGTGCAGTGAATGGGCGAGAAGTGCATAAGGAGTGCAAAATGTGAGTATTACGAAAAGACATAATTAGCAATCATCCAGTCTCCAAAGATTCGACAGTGCCTTCAATCAACAAGCACCTGGAAAGGGACCTCTGCAGGACCTGTCCTTGATTTAGGGTTTGGGGGGTCCGATTTTGTCAGTAGGAGTGCAGCGCGCTTGCTTGGTATTTGCAAGAGACCAAGACCCTCCTCTTAAAGCCCTAAGGATCCATTCCATGCGCGCAGTACACACGCACATGGTTGTTGTAGGACCGTCTGGGCTTTTAGGTCAAAACCCCATTGATTGTGTGGGCCTTTATATTATCTATATGCGTACACATGATGTTACAGATCCGGAGTGACCCAACGACCCTAAATGCTGAATATTCTGGGAGTTCAGTTAACAAGGGCTTGAACCCTAAACATTAAACCACTCAAACCCCAAGCCCTAAACCCTAAGCACTAAGCCCTGAATCCTAAACCCTTTAAACTGTAAACTCTAAGCCCTCAACCCTCAAACCTAAACTTCTAGGCCCTCCCAGGTGTAGCATACAGGCACAGGCAGGCAAGGTGGACAGGGGAGGTGATGCTGCCGCAGACTCCTAGGGTTTAGGGTTTAAGGCTTAGGATCTAGAAATCAAAGCCCCCTTCAAGGGTTGTGTGAGCCATAATCTGAATAAAGTCATTAAGGATGGTTTTTGGGGGAAAGCGGTAGGGGTGATTATTTTCAGGGGGATACTAGTAGTTTAGGCTATGGCTCATGTAGGGTTTAGGGCATGGGGTGTAGGATCTAGAAAGTAGAAGCCTGATATTGTGCCCTGTACTATTGCTGGGTGATTCCTAGGAACCTTCAGCGGGATCTACTCTCCAGATCCCCTAAACCCTAAACTGTATGGGCCGATATGACCGGGGTTTGCCATAGTACGAGGCTGGTAGGCCCTAAAGCTTGGGTAATGCCCCCTCTCTGCAACAGTTGGATAATATATTCAAAATCTAAGTGCATATATATATATATAGAGACTTTAATAGGACCCCTACAAGGAGGGGCCCCCTAGTTATACGTTGGGTTATAAGTTGGGCTAAATATAGTTATAAGTTCCATAAATTGTAGTCATAGGACTGATAAGTATAGTTCTGTAGCTAGGGGGCCCCTCCTTGTATGGATCTACCAGCTCTAAGGGTCCTAAACCCAGTCTTTTGTCACGACATGACTATACCCGGGGGAATCCTAAGCACCTTAAAGCCTGATTGAAGGGAGGTTTGGTACTTGTTCTCACGACTCATTTGAGAAACGAAGACTTTAGGATTTTGGGTCTTAGAGGTTCATGGATATTCCTACAAATCAGATGTCCATTGCAGCATCAGTTGGGCCCCTATGTTATTTTCCCTGTGTCTCTAGACTACCAAGGCCCTTAGGCGGATCTAGACAGCAGATCATCTTGAAGCATTCCTAGAAGTCACTCTATAGCAGTATAGGGAACTACAACCCTAAGCCTTAAAGCATGAATCCTGAACCTTACAGACCCTGATCAATGAAAACTACACCTTGAAACCCCAAACCCTAAACCTCAAACCCCAAACCCTAAACCTCAAACCCTAAACCCTAAACTCTGGTCCCCAACGGCGGAGGCGGCCGAGGAGTGGTTCGGCCGTTGCATTGCGGCACGGGGTGCCGTAGACGCGGCCTAGGGCTCGGGGGCTTAAGGGTATAAGGTTTGGGGATTACCTGGGCCCCAGAAGTATGTAAAATAATGGCCTTTATGGCTGTTATTATGGGTTTAGGGCTATTATTTTACATATTTTTGGGGTTTAGGTAGAAGGTTTGGGGTTTACAATGAGGGCCTCCTAGTTATAAGTTTGGTTATAAATTGGGCTAAATATGGTTATAAGTTCCATAAATTGTAGTTATAGGACTTATAAGTATAGTTATGTAACTAGGGGGCCCCTCCTTGTAGGGTTCAGGGTCAAGTTTAGAGAGGGTTTAGGTTTATCAGGGGGTTTTGGTGGGTCCCTGGGCTTTTGGGAGACTTGTTCAAGGACTGTACGGGAGCACTTGGAGGTTCATGGGGCTCAGTAATTACATCTTTGGGAACATAGCCCTTCTTAACACTCAACCCTAAACCCTAAACCCCAAGAAAGCCCTGGTTCGTTTAATGGGCTTGGGTTTGGGTTTTCAGGCTTAAGGGGATTGATCTTCAGAGTCGGAGATGTTCGGGTTTAACCCAGACCCTGATTAATGAAACCGCTCCCCTTACTTGGGATTAGAATAGAGATCCTAATATTTAGGCCCTTAAAAGGAGGGGGTTTATTAATCATGGGTCTACATTAACCCCTAAACCCTTAACACTGAACCCTAAATAGTACTTTCCATTTTCTTTTCCATTATCCCCAATATAACTCCACATTAGGGTCTAGGGTGTAGGTCAGAGGCGCTGTTTGGAGGTTGAAGATGGCAGGGGCCTTGAAGCAGTGCAGACGCCTGTTGACAAAGATCTGGTTCCCTTCTCTTCTTGAAACCCAAAACCGTAACCCTTAAACCCTAAACCCTAAACCTTAAACCCTAAACCTAAACCCTCACCCTGAACCTTAAACCCTAAACCCTAAAGTTTGCCTAGCTTAGGAGCTTCATGGTGGGATCCTAAACCTCGGCCTCTAAAGCCCTGACCCGAACCTTCCCGCAGAAAGTTGCAAGTAGTCCTGTAGTCCCCCTTAAGTAGATAGAATATGGGGGCTATACTGGGATAACGGAAAAGAAAATGGAAACTACTGTTTAGGGTTTAGGGTTACAGTCCCCGGTAAGTAGATAGAATATGGCTTAGGGTATACTCTGATAATATCCCCATATACCCCATATTCTATCTAATTAGGGGGGACTATAAGCCCTAAACCATGAAGCCAAAAGAACGAATCTCTAAGGGTGAGCTTAGAAGAATTGGACTGGGGTTTCGATATTGCCTCCACCTTACTTGGAGGTTCATGGGTATTAGTGACCTGAATTGCCCAATATCATAATAAGATCCCCCATGACACCCCATACTCTATCTACTGTATACCTTTGTTACAACAATGCAACTAGCAGGTAGCCATGGGTGCTGTGATTGGCGCCGCGAGCAAAGATGCAGCTGCTGCCTGAGATTTCGTCGGAATATTGAGAGGATTTCGGGTGAAAGTTTAAGCCTTATAAACCCTAGAACCCTAAACCCTAAAACCCTAAGCCCTAAACCCTAAACCCGTTGAGGTTGAGGGCGCAGCGTCTAGGATTCTGTCAGGCTTCAGTCAGCAATGCACAGGACTCTACGTTTGATCAAGTGCAGTTTAGAACCTACCCCTAAGGGTCCAAGGACCCAAATAATAGGGCTTTAGGGCCCAAATACCATTATTATTAGGCCCTAAAACCCTTTTATTTGGGTACTTGGACCCTTAGGGTACATTTTGAAGCATTTAAGGAGGTAGGTTTTCAGAGGGTACACAGGCTTTCTTGCGATCAGTAAGTCTATACATGCGCTGTACTTTCAGGCATAAAAACCGATACCTCAGCTACTTTTGGGTGCCTTGGGTTGGCTTGTCGGTGGCTATGCCTGAATGGAGGCATGAATCCCCTAAACCCTAAGCCCCTAAACCCTGATACTTGGCTCATCCCTTGATCAATGTATTTAGGGTTTAGGGTTTCGACTTGCTGGAACCCCAAATCCGTCAACCCCTTACCCCTAAACCCCTGAACCCCTAACTCCTAAAACCCTAATCCCTAAACCCTCCCCTGGTGAAAGTGGAGTGTATCCCCACTTACACTTTCTGTAGAGAAGCAGGCCTCTGTGGTTGACGACATGCTCTGTGTTGACAGAAAGGTAGCAATCCCAGACAAATTTGCCAAAGTGCCAGTCTATTTATTATAGGGGCCGAAACAATTGCCAGTGATAGGGTTTCAGTTTCCTTGTAAACCTGGATAGGACCTTGCAAGGGGTGGCAAAAGCCCGAGCACGCAAGCTCGCGAAAAGGGCGGGCGCGAGAACAAACAATTCCTCACACATGTTGATTTAGCTTAGAGGATATACTCTATGTTGAAAAGAGTGAAAGGTCCCACGCGCCACAGGAAACCTTAATCTTGGGGCACCGATACCAGAATTCAGAACAGCAGCCAGTAATGGTATGCGGTAACTCCACATGATCTTCGTACTTGCACCGTATTGTGTTCATTACATTATGGGTTCTCTTAACCCTCCTCATACTACTCCCCAATTACAAAGGAGGGCTAAAGCCTAAACTCTGAACCCTAAATCCTAAACCGTAAAACCTAAACCCTAAGTCCTAAACCCTAAATCCTAAACCCTAGATTTTATATAGGGGGTGGTCAGGTCATCCATCTACAGAATCCTCAGGACCAGCAGTTACATCATGATCTCTAGAAGTCCTGGGTCTAGGGTTACAAGGATGGGCCCCCTAGCTACATAAGTATACTTATAAGTCCTCTGACTACAGTTTATGGCACTTATAACTATGTTTAGCCCAACTTTTAACCCAATTTATAACTAGGGGGCCCCTCCTTGTAGAAGTCTTGCAATTACTATTTATGGAATCTATACTATCCTCATCCCCACTTCTAAGCCAACTTACGTTTAGGGTTTAGGGTTTAGGGCTTTTCACTACTGTTGATACCAAAACTTCCTGCATCGCCTTTGTATACAATAATACCAAATTTACCAAAGAATGAGGTTCTTAGTGTCATGCGTGATTTTTGGTATCCAGCGAAAAGGTCCGCTTCCTGCAATTCCCCCAAACCCCAACCTCTAAACTCACAAAACCTTACAGTCCGCATTAAGTAGATAGAATATGGCTTTCGGTACATTCTAATACTATCCCTATCTACCCCATATTCTATCTACTTCAGGGGGACTATGAACCCTAAGCCCTAAATCCCAAACCCTAAACCCTAAACCCTAAATCCCAAACCCTAAACCCTAAGCCCTAAATCCTAAACCTCAAGCCCTAAATCCTAAACCCCAAGCCCTAAATCCTAAACCCTAAAC